CTAACTTCTAGAAATAGCAAACTCTTTATTGATAAGTTTTGTAAAACCTTGAGATATTTTATTAACAACTTACTTGCAATTTTAAGTAAATAAGCTTACATTAAATCCATTTGCCATCACATTTTAAATAATTTTGTTTAAACTATGGTTTGGATTTATCCATAATATATCTTTTTCACTCCATTCCCTACCCTTTACAGTCTACAATTATCTTTAAAGACATTTAGTAGTTAAGAAATCACTAATCATCTAACATAATATAACTATTATACTACTGAAAACAAAGCAAACTTTATAAAATATATGGCACCAAACTATAGTGTAAGAAGCTTAAATTTTTTGATAGACACAGGCAATATTAACAAATCTACATTTCTACAATATAAAAGTAACACAAAGTTAGACAAGCAAGTTTCTAAGCTTCAAGGAACTTTTGATGGTAAAACACAAGATAATGTAAAGGACAACCACCACTTTGCTTTCATAGAGTTAAAGGGTAGAAAAATACCTTGTAATGATGAAGTAGCCTAGAATATGAAAAAGTCTCTAAAAGGCTACAAAAAGGAGAATAGAAAGTAAGGAAGAGAGATCTAAGTTGACCTCCACAGTTTAAATACCCATGTCTGTGAATTTTAATCAGTAGGTTGCTACTTACTATGCTTTCTTAAAAGACAGGATTGCATAGCCTTACTCTCAGGCTCTGCTCTGTCAATAATCTCTCAGCAAAGGCAATTTGAGCCTTAGATGAAGCTGGGCAAAAATATGGCTCCATGCCTTCTGGATCACATCCCTTTGATGAGGGAGACAACATACTCTAACTGCCTCACAACCATACTCTTGACAGTCTCACAACCATTTTCCTCACTGTAGCCAGATGTTATACTTAAAATTAATCTAATTTCTGAGTCTTCTTTACTTAAGACTCTTCAATGAATCCACCCTCACCCAACCATATTCAGGTGCAGTGTAAACTCCTCAATGTAGAGTAGTTCCTTATAAACACATACATAAACTCACTCCTGCCATGTCCCCGCTCCCACTTTACACTCCCAGGACACAAACTAACTTAGAACCCTTCACCAGCCCTTCCCTACCACCACACTCTCAATACCACAGTGCTACTCTGGATGAATTGGGATTCTTCCAACTAAATTCCTCCCTTACATCCATCAAAATTCAATCCAGGCACCAATCTTCCTCCAGAAGAAAACTTTCCACAAGCCACAAAGTAGGCAAAGTTCCCCTCCTTTGGACATAGCTCCCTGAGCAAACATCTTTCATAACACCTACTGCACAAAATTACCTTTTTTTGTATTTTTAAAGTTTGTCTCCCTTAACAGAAAGTGGCTCAAGTGTAGAAATTATATTTTAACTCCAATGAGGAAGAGCCTATCATACATGCAGTGGCTATTTGAAAAATGTTTACTGAATTGAAATGCTGGGTGCTACACAATGAAAACTTAACAAACATAGCTTGACTTATTCTTAGCCAATTCATTAGCAAGTCCTATCAGTTGTAATTCCAAAATACATGCCAAATTCATTCACTTCACATATGCTCAGCCACCGTGCCAGTCCAGCCTGCCGAATCTCATTTAGATTCCTATAATAGCCTCCTAATTTCTCTGCTTCCAGACCCACCATTCATTTTAAAACACACACACACACACACACACACACACACACACACACACACACACACACCACAATCCCCACCACCATGTCCCCAGAAGTCTTTGTAAAAGTGTATGTAAAAAATCTTCTAAAAGTGGATTTAAATTTTAGAAATCCATTAAAATCCTTATATGCTTTCTATTAATTTTATACTAAAATTCAAACTCCCACAGTGCCTTACAATGCACTATATGATCTGACTCCTTCCAAGTTTTGTACTCATTCTGTATTACTCCAACTCTACGGGGCTCCATTACAATAATTTTCCATCTCAGAGTCTTTATACCAGCTCTTTCCTCTGCCTAAAAGACGCAATCCTCAGCTAGCTTGGTACTTTCTCAAAGCTTAGGTTAAAACATCACAATCCAATCCAAAGCGGCTTTTTTTATCCCTCAATCATTGTCTTTTTTGCACTCATTACCAAATTATATTTTCCACTTATTTATTGTATATATCAATTCCTCAAGAGGGCAGAAACTTGGTGTTTTGTTCATCACTGTATCTCCATGTGCCTAGAAAAAGTACCTTGCACACATCAGGTACTCATAAGCATTTGTAAAACAAAAGAATAAAACAAGAAAAATGACTCTTATTTAAGATATACATGAAACAAGGTAAAAGAAATGAATAAATAATCTACCAAACAAGAAGGAAACATTCTACTCTTAGTATTTGCAAGTAGATAGGCTGGGTGTTACTGGATCTATTATCAACAAGCACCCAGAGTGTATTTCCAAAAGCTTATTGAAAACATGTCAAGTGGAATGGTTTCATGTGCTATACCCATATGCCAGCCCATGTGCATGACACGGCAAACAATCCTTTTACGCAGACACTCCCAAAAGCCCTGTAACGTACATAAAAAGGAATGAAACACTTAAAAAACATCTACTACATTATTTAAAAAACAAACAGTATTTCTCACAGTGGTACTTATCTATAAATTATTAAATTGACACTAAAACTTGACCTCTTACTAGATAAGTAATGGGTCCTTCCAATACAAGAGGTAGGTCTTCAAGACATGTCTAACATCTAAGAAGCTGCCTTACATACTGTAATCTTTTAGAAGTAACACTACAACTCAAACAAAATAATACATAAAATTCAACACAATGGTAGTAAATGGTAGTAGCCTCTTTCAACTCCTTACTGAGTGAAGTTTTAACCAAGGGGGAAGAAATGTGTCTAGCAGTACTGCACCAGAGATAGAAAAGCACTGAATCGGAAACCAAGATGGCGGCATAGGTAAACACCGGAGTTTGCTGCCTCGAACAACCACTTCAAAAATACAACTAAAAGACGGAACGGACATCACCCAGAACCACAGGAAGGCTGGCTGAG